AGCACTTTCATCGATAGGATGAGCAAAATGGAATGCATATACCGCTAGAACATGGAAATATACACTGCCACCTTTTTTTCTTTTTTTTTTGTATGTGTGTGTGTGTGTGTGTGTGTGTGAGAGAGAGAGAGAGAGAGAGAGAGAGAGAGAGAGAGAGAGAGAGAGAGAGAGAGAGAGAGAGCAGCTAAGTCTCCAACCTCGTGGCTGGCCTCATGGTACTACCATCAATAGGATGAGGAAAAACGAATAAATCTACTGCTAGAACATGGAAATATACACTGCCACCTAGGCTACCAGAGTGGCCCGGGGTCACTTGCCCGACTGGGCCAAAAAAAAACAAACAAAAAAAACAATTGTTTTTTTTTTCAATTTGGTAAATAATTGCAATGCGACCCTGAGGCAAGAGTTGTTCAGGTTATTTTTTTGCATAACATAGTTTTTTTTCCGAGTTTTTTTTTTTTTTTTTTCTTGCTGGTGCAAGGCGTATGAGTGAGAACGATATACAGAAAGCGAGGTTGCGAAATCACACAGATGTCCAAGTGGTCATGTAAAAGCAGTCACGTACAAGCAGAGAGCACAAATGCAAAAAGATTCCATCCAAATAAGAGCAATAGAACGGACGTGTAAGCCAATGTTCAAGCCCTCAGGCCACACCAACACGGTATCCAATGTCGCTCCTCTCTGCCTGGTGCCCAGCGCCCAGCCTACACTACTCGCCTATCCTAGTACATCCGCATTCACGCAACAGGCTCACTTCGACTTTGAAGACCAATCTACATGACGTCAACACCATAGCCGACCTCCCCTCGTGCACCAGGTACGTATCTCGTCCCCTCATCAGACCTAGACCACCAACTCTCGCCTCCTTCCTGTAGACCACCTATTGCCCCTTACCCCCTAGCGCCCTGCAGCCCGACTATGGCTGCATGCGCTCCACTGCTCAGCAGCGCTCCTCTCACCTCACAAGCGCCGACAGGCGCCCTGGCCACTAACGCAGCACGCAGCATCTCGCGGAGCAACACAGCAGCGTCACCGCATTGCCTGCGTGGGCCAGAATGCCAGACCCTGGCTGCCCTTCCTCCTCTATGGAAGTGGCAGCCTCTGTTTGGCTGTGTGTGGCCTGTTTGGGAAGCTTCCAGTAGCTTCTGGTCGGGTCCCAGTGGCTGCCTGCGCCCAGGCCCAGCTCTTCAGTTCAGGGCCTGGGCCGTTTTCGGCTGGCCACGCCCAGGATTTCCAGACTTGGGCCATTTGCTCTATTTGCACAGGACCCGGGGTATGTACGTGGACACTGCTGCATTTTCGAGGCCCGTAGGCACTTCATGATGTATCTGCCTTGCATTGTGTGTGTGTGCCCAGGTGCAACTGCCAAGGCCTGGGCCCAACTGTACGGCGCAGCATAGGAAGGCTCACCCTTCCTCTCAACCAACTAGCTTGCTGCAACTGCCTGAGCACCCACATATGGAAATGTCAAATTTTGTTCTCTGGTGAATATTCAGGCCCGCCTTCACTTAGGGCGGGCACTGTGCTTGCTGAGGGCCTCGGCCCAGAACATGTGCATGGCTGATAAAGGCCCTGCGAGGGCTCATTCCTCACACTGGGACCTTCTCTGGTCCTTGCACGGGCTGGCCACCCGGGACCTGGGCGGCCCGGTTGGTAGCCTAGACTTCCACACTTTTTTTTGTTTGTGTGTTTGTGCGTGCGAATTCATCATGCCCCTATAATGAGCGGGCAATGTATTTGGGCAAAGGCAGTAGGGCAGCTCACATGGCATGCCTCTAGTGTCGTACGAAGAGCACTGTTTTTTTCTGCATAACATAGTTTTTTTTGGGAGTGTTTTTTTTTTTTTTTTTTTTTTTTTGGTAAGGAATATGACTGAGAACGATATACAGAAAGCCAGGTTGCGAAATAACACAGATGTTGATTGGACATGTACAAGCAGAGAGCACAAATGCACCAAGATTCCATCCAAATAAGAGCAATACAATGAACGCGTGAGCCAATGTTCAAGCCCTCAGGCCACACCAACACAGTAATCAATGTCGCTCCTCTCTGTCTGGCGCTGTTGCATACTCAGGTAGTGCAGACCAGAACCAAGAACCGACCTCTCACAGATGTAGGGAGGGTAGCACAGCGGAAGACTGAAATACCAATAATCATACCCAATCAATGTTGTGACACAGACTGCAACCCATCATCATCATCATCATCATCATCACACTGTGTGAAGGGAGGCCTGGCGCTGTAACACAAGGAAGAAAGCACCAGGCTCCGTTATGCACAGATGAAGAAGAGGGAGAAGAGACAAGGGGGGAGAGAAGGGAGAGATGACATCAACCCAAAATGTCCTCGGTATCAATCCCTGAAACAGTCCCCCACAATGTCGCTGCTCACATGTCATGTCTGAATCTCGATGTCACTGAGTCTCAATGTCATAACTCTCTCTCTCTCATAGTCACACGAAGAAGGAGGGGAGGAGAGAGAAGGGAGATGGACTGGAGGAGGAGGAAGAAGAAGAAGATCTCTCTCTCTCTCTCCCTCTCTCTCTCTCTCTCTCTCTCTCTCTCGCTCTCTCTCTCTCTCTCTCTCTCTCTCTCTCTCTCTCTCTCTCTCTCTCTCTCTCTCTCTGTTGGATCTCAGGTACTAACCTGCGAACGGTGGCGTCTTGATGCAGGTATGGACGCGCAGAAGACGAAGCTGGAGCACTGGTGCCGTCAGGTAAGTCCACAGGTAAGTCCCCAGGCCTCTGCCATAGTCCAGTCCCAAACCTCTCTCTCTCTCTCCTTCTCTGGTGCTGCTCTGCGGCTGCGCTAACTAGCGCTGAAGCCTAATGATATCGTTGACTACCAAGGAGCTCCTACACCAACCTCTACGAATGCCTGCTGAGGCTGAGGCCGACCAGCTATAAATAGTGTTGGTCTGGCCTCAGCTGTGCCTCGAACTCAAAACTTGGCGCCTAAACTGGCGCCCAAACTGAGGCTACGCCTCAACGGCCAGTGCCTCACGAAACGGCACGCCCTCCCGGGTCTGGCGCCAAAACGTGCGCCAGGGCATCTCGTCCTGTCTGGGCCTACCGACCTACGGGGCCCTGACTGGATCGAAACGACACAGGGCCTAACCGGTCCTAAAAGTGCCCCCTATCCGTCCCCTAGCCTATCTGGTCGGGCATGTACGGCCCGTGTGGACTCAGACTGTCACAGGCGCTCAGCGCCCAGCCTACACTACTCGCCTATCCTACTACATCCGCATTCACGCAACAGGCTCACTTCGACTTTGAAGACCAATGTACATGACGTCAACACCATAGCCGACCTCCCCTCATGCACCAGTGTCACCAGCATCCCGTGCAGCAACACAACAGTGTCACCACATTGCCTGCGTGGGCCAGAATGCCAGACCCAGGATGCCCTTCCGACTCTATGGAAGTGGCAGCCTCTGTTTGGCTGCGTATGACCTGGCTTCCAGTAGCTTCCAGTCGGGTCCCAGTGCCTGCCTGCGCCCAGGCCCAGCTCTTCAGTTCAGGGCCTGGGCCCTTTTTCGGTTGGCCACGCGCAGGATTTCCAGACTTGGGCCGTCTGCTCTATTTGCACAGGACCCAGGGTATGTACGTCGACACTGCTGCCCGCAGCCACTTCATGATGTATCTGCCTTGCATTGTGTGTGTGTGCCCAGGTTCAACTGCCAAGGCCTGGGCCCAACTGTACGGCGCAGCATAGGAGCTCATGCTTCCTCTCAACCAACTGGCTTGCTGCAACTGCCTGAGCACCCACATATGGAAATGTCAAATTTTGTCCTCTGGTGAATATTCAGGCCCACCCTTCACTTAGGGCGGGCACTGGTTGCTGAGGGCCTCGGCCCAGAACATGTGCATGTCTGGTAAGTGCCCTGCGACAGCTCATTCCTCGCACTGGGACCTTCTCTGGTCCTTGCACAGGCTGGCCACCCAGGACCCGGGCGGCCCGGCTGGTAGACTAGACTTCCACACTTCTTTCCTTTTTTTTTTTTTTTTTGTTGTGTATGTTTGTGCGTGCGAACTCGTCATGCCCCTATAATGAGCGGGCAATGTATTTGGGCAAAGGCAGTAGGGCAGTTCACATGGCATGTCTCTAGTGTCATACGAAGAGCACTGTGCACTAGGTGCAGTAGGGTGAGCAGCTCCAAAAATAACGTTCAGTTTATTTTCTGCTGGTGCAAGGAATATGAGTGAGAACGATATACAGAAAGCCAGGTTGGGAATTCACACAGATGTCCAAGTAGTCATGTACAAGCAGAGAACACAAATGCTCAAAGATTCCATCCAA